ATGGATAATAAGTTTCTAAAAGTGGTCCAGAACAATTAAGAGGAAAAATGAAAAAAAGAATGATTTGTATCAATATAACTGAAACTTCAACTGCTGCTCAAGCTATAGTCAATGTGTTGAAAAGATCTGCCGAAAACAAACCGGTAGCAAAAAAATCAAGCACAGAAAGGAGGAGAATGCCTCAGAAGACAATGTTGAAAATAGAATAGTTGTAATTGTTATCTTAAGCTGTACCTACACAAAGGACCTAAAAGTAAAAGAATGATGTGATTAATTGAAACAATTATAGATAGAATGACAAATCAGGTTCATTTGAAAGTTCTCAATACTTATTATAATGTTAAATAAGTTCGAAAATACCTTGGAGAAAGAGAATTTTCCTTGTAAACTTTTTTTTTTTAATTACCTATTAATTAACACTTTAAAAAAAATATATTTAACCAAACTATTTTATTTAACTGTATTTCACAGTTATATTCTGTTTTAGCCCTGTTACAATCCATGTTAATAGTAATTTGGCATTACCAACAGTAAAGGGAATGAAAGCCAATCGAACCTGGTTTCTAATGAAGTTTTTCTAGGATATCGGAAATTCATTAAAAGTTAGTAAGGAAAAATGAATTATTAAAATATCGTAAAATTGAATTGTCTAACTTATATACAAATATTAAATAATTAAAGTGAACTATACCTGAATAGAACAAAACAAGAACAACCATTTGTGGAGTCATAGGGGTTCTTATGCACAAGTCAATCGTTAAAGGCCCTAAGATACGAGAATGATCGAAAATAGTCACTAGTTCAAACTTTATACGTAGTTAAATAAAATAAATGCAGAGAAAAGCCTGGTTGTTCAATGATTGTACCCCAAGAGCCTGTTTAAATATACACAAAATCAGGAACAGATCTATATAGAGTGGTAATGAAAAATAATTAGATTGTATGAAAATAGTAGGAAAAGTATTTTTCTTCCTATATGTAAAAGAGATATTGGATTATAGATTGCACTAATTGTAAACTTCGCTTGGATCTTTAGAAAGTTTCAGTATTTAAGATCTAAAGGATTTTTGAACGATTAATTATTAAAAGTATTATTATTATATAAACAGAATATTTTTCTAAAATAAAGACAACATTTGTATGATAAATAAAGTTGCTTACCAATAATTCTTTATACACTCCTTAGCATTCACTAAAGGCACTATTCAGATGTTTTTAAAAAAATAAGTATGTATGATTTTCGTTAAATTGATCGTGTACTATAACTATTAAATAAGCTGAAATAATTTTAATTTATCTGTACAATGATAATTAAAGCTTTAGTTTTCACTAAACAGGGTTGAAGCCTTAGTTTTTCACTAAGCACGTTTTCGGTAGCTGTCCAAGAATAGAATGGTCATCTTAAAATTAAAAGAGCTGTTGTAAAAGGCAAGAACGATCCAAACAGTAATTCTTTAAAGATAGAAAGATAGGGATAGTTAGATTCATAGTATCTCATTATATGTAAAAATTATGTAAAGTGAGGATGTTGGCATTTTAACTCAAAAACAAATAATCTAAATAGTTTTATATATGTAGAACCTTCAAATTTCTCGTCCTCACGATTATTGATGGAGAGAAATTAGAATTGTGTTACCAACCATTATATAGTGATTTAACTGATACTGTACTCATATGATCGATCGTCATTTGATTACGTGTTGAAAAGTACTTTTCTTAGTTGAGATATTGATATATAGTTTTATTGTTAATTATTTATTAGTTTGAGTACCCATAATTACCAAATAATTAATATTAACCAAGCAAGCTTACAATTATTGTGCTCATTATAATCGTTACAATTACTTAGCTATAACCTCGAAAGTGCTTTTAATATTAATTTTGTCAAATTTGTTATTAAATCTAAATCAATATATATTTATATAGCTTTAAAAAAGAAAATATTATTTAAATATTGACTATGTTCTGAATCATGGTTATTATTTTGGCATCTTGCATTATAATCATATATAAAATGTGTCTTTCGAATTTCATTCACAGATATTAACGGAAAAATTTTGTGATGAGAATTATCATAACGAAGGATAAATAGTGAACAATTTACTTTTATATACTTTTTATAAGTATTTTCAAACTAATTAACATAAATAAAAGGATAGTAATAACCATCATTACCTTTATGCTTAAAAATAGCTTTCACCATCGCATAACCTTCATTGTATTTGCTCATTTGAATTATCACCACATCGTTCAGATGTAAATGGCATTTAACTTCAGTATAACCTTCATTTTGTATATAGGTTATACTTTCATAAAAATTACAGAATTTGTTATTTAGTGAGGTGCTATATCCAAAGCTTTGATAAGCAAGATCCAAGTCAGATTGAAAAGCATCTGTATTGGGTTTAATCATTATTCTATAAGCTGCTATTTGCTTTCTTAAATTTATATTTTGAATGTGATTGGATTGGGAATGTACTGTGTACAAATTAATGAATAATATATGTAAATGCTAACAATGTATAAATAATGTAAAATCATTAAAGTTATAATATTACTTTCTGATTCTTCATTATCCTCTTCAAATGAATTTTCTGTAATAAACCAATTCTTAAATAGATGTTTAGAATCTTGAGATAGATTAATAAAATCGATACTAGGCTGTAAATTTCGGTAATCAAATCCACTATCGACTAAATATCAAATAGATTGTAAAGTTGTATATCGTTTTAATAAATCTAATTCAATATTCTTTCGATTGGTATGTGAAACCATATTTTTGAAGATACGATGGACCATCTCCTTGGTTCCAACCTCTGTATTTGTAAGAGTTCCGAAGGTTCTTGCATATCGAAGTAAATAGTAACAAGCATAAAGATTAGGAAGGCTCACAAAGTCTGGAAATAACTGTATTTAATATAATTTAGCAAATTTTAACATGTTAGTATTATCTATTTACCATATGTATCCAATATTAATATCTAAATTATATATATAATATATTATGTTTTCTTGATTACTTGAGTATGACATTTAGAATTGATTAATTGGTAGGAAAAAAAAAAAATTGAATATTAATAAAAATGTTAGAAACTATTTAATTTCATTCTAATATTGTCTAATTTCCAAAAGCTATCATGTGATTTTTCATATTTATTTGCTATCAATATATATTTAGTAGATTTTTCATCTATTGCTATTGCTATATGATATCTATTATCATCGAAGAATTGATGTATAGCGATAATCAAATACGTATTTAGAGGTTCTTAAAATGGGTTAGAATAGGACATATGTTAGCAAAATTTAAATTAATCAAATTATCGAAATACATGTATAAAAAAAATTAAAAAATATAAAAAAATCTAGCTTTTAATATTAATAATACTAATGTATGATACATGTGGCAAATAAATAAGATAAATTTATAAAATTAATTTAAACTTTATCCACATTAAAATCTGCCGTTCTTCTTTTAAATTCTTTTCAAGGTCTTCATAGTCACGATTTATTAATGGAAACTTAAATACTAGTTGAGTGCATAATGCCACAATTGCCCAATATTTAATAATTGCATTAGCCACTTGATTACGATATAAACCTGTACGTTCTTGTAGTTTTGTTAGTTCGAGTGACTTAAAACAGTTTGTAGTTAATGACCTGTTTAATATAAATGGTATCACCATTCCTAATCGAAGACAGTCTGACATCATAAAGCTTTCAATATGACTGATAGGATTTGGAAGCTTTGACCACTAATTAGGATATTTAAAAGATTTCAAAGTCTCAAGAAATATTTGTTCACCATCTGGCGATAATATAGCTACAGTTAATTTGAGAAGTTTTAATATTTTTCTGGCCATTATATGGTAGATATCCTGTGGTGACTGAAGGTGTCTTTCGCATTGAAGCTGATCAAGTATTGGATAAACCTTTCACAAACCATATTCTTTCACAATATTATTTTGTTGTGTAATAGTTGAGGCCGAAAACATGTTATCAAATTGTGTATTTGTGATATGGTGATAAAGAGAGATCATTGAAATATCTAAGTTTTCATTTGTTGAATTTTCTTTTGTAACCATACAAGTTCTACATCCTCTTATTGCGCCATGCCATTTTATTCCTGTTAAATCATTGCCTTGTGGTAGGTTTGTAGTAACACATCCAAGACCAGCAATGATCCAATAATTATTTTCTTGAATATTTATTACGACTCCATTTTCAAATCGTTTTATATCTAAAATGAATGGACAAATAAAGTTGTCAAAATTTCTACCAAAAGGAATGAATCCTAAAACAAAATGATTTCGCAAATTCTTTCTGATATCAAAAAGCATATTCCCTAGTTGTATGTAAACACCACCGAGGGAATAGTAAACATTCCGATAGGTTCCAAAGTCATCATAGTAAATATCAAAAAATAACTTTAAAGTCTGAAGATTATTATATTGTAGTGGTGGTAAAATTAGGGTAGAATATTCACATGGATGCATATAATCTAACTTTACATCTTGTAATTTCCATTGACTATTTTTTTTATATAAAATTTCTTTAATATAAAGTTCATTGGAAATACTTGAATCACGAATTATAAATTATTAATTTTTTTGACAATTTTATTTGTATGTGCAATAATACTACCCTCTTTCAAATATTGATCAACTAACTATAATTGAAATTTTTGCGTAGCTGAATAAGCAATACTGTGAAGATTTACTGGTAACTTTTCATAAATATAAATTCATTGTATTTTTATTCGAAGTTCATCATTAACAGAAATTATTGATCGTATTCATCCGAATCTTTGTTCATTATCTTCTTTATATATAATGAACTCACCTGAATAATAATATTTTGTTATAATATAAAGGAATAATATTAGTAATTCAAATTATAACAATAAGTAACTATTTAAAAAAAATAGTAATTTTCAAGTATTATTACCTTTATTAATAACTATTCTGTCTTGTCCAAATAACGGTGACTCTGCCCAAAGATCACTGTGCCAATATTCTTTTTGTTACTTTAGATGTTGATGGCATTTTCATCTGATTAATCTTAATAGGACGTGTTCTTATTGGAATTAATGGTAATCGATTTCTTAATTTCCAAAGTTTTCGTACATCTTTTACAACGTCATTTGTATTAAAAGCTAGACTTTGTAATATATATACCAGGTTATTATATGCACTTGTTGCTGTCAAAATAAAATATTATATTCTTGTTTGGTGAATAATTAAATATTATTTTAATTAAAATTCAACTCACAAATATTGTGTTTTTGTATCCAACAAAACAATAATGTAGAAGTTGAATTTTCAAAGTAAAATGTGTTATTTGGTATCTGATTTATGTCCACTGATTCATCAATTATTAGATCTTCATCCATATTCTTATCATTGCTAATATCCTTCTCGCTGTAGTTTTCTTCTATTAAATTATCCATTTCTAATCCATCTTGCATTTCAAATTCATTTTCTATCTCTAACTCGTCTTGCATTTCTAGCCCATCTTGTATTTCTAACTCATCTTGTGTTTCTGATTCACTAGTCGATTCTACTTCATCCTGTGCTTCTATTTCATCTCGTATATCTGCTTCAGCTTGCATTTCCATCTCATCTTTTTTATCTGAACTTATATTAGATTCTGTAAAGTTGTTTAATAAAATTATTATATAATATTGGCATACTACTGATTAAAATTATTGTGCTTAAATTTATTATAAATAGCCTGTTTACCTGAATTAAATAACCCAAATCGGCTATTCTTTGTAAGAACATTACGATTCGAAAAATTTTTACTTTTACGCAAAAAAAACGATTTATATAATGGAATACAATTCGATAAAATGCGGCTTTTACGCATTTTTTTAAATACAATTTTATTACTAGATTGAAATTCCAGTAAAAGTGTTATTGAATCGAATTTTAATAAGAGCTTATTTTTATAATTATCTTTTTACAGCTGAGTTTAATTATTAGCTCTAATTCCAACTAATTTAATAAATAATGATATTTAAAATATGTAATGAATGATTTGCTTTTATTATCATTTGTTCTTATTAGACTAAGCAAGAATCTTTGAAATTACAATAGTCATAATGCCAAATTTATTAAATAGATGCCAGGAGGGAATTAATAAATAAAGAATATAAAAATAGTAAGAGAATAAGGAACTTTAATAATGATATTTAAGAAATGCACCGGGAAAAGAGATATACAAATTTAAACATAGTTTAAAAAGATAATATAGCAACAAGTAAAAATATGAACAGAAATACAAAGTTACTAATTTATACTAAAATTTGCAGCTAGGATTAATAAAGGGTTTCCTTTTATTCTATTGATAAAATATGCTGTTCGAAAACTTAATAGTCACCAAAGATGCTTCTCAATCACAAACCTATTTATAACATTAAGAAGAATAACTGCCAAATCTTCTTTGCCTCGAATAGAGAGTGCCGCCTAATTGCCATTTCAGCTAGTGTTTGACTGAAATTCGAATGTAAACTCAATCCCAATACAAAAAGTGTGACAAGAATCACACAAAAGACAAAAAGCGAATAACTTATCCGAATCGACAGTATACAAAAACTTAAGTAAAATAGCTCCAGAAGTACTTTTTTTTTGTATTGAAAGTAATAACAAACTCAATCAATATACTAGAAAATAATTATTTGAAAGCTAACTAGTCATAATTACATAATAAAAGTATAAATAAATTGATTATCACGAAAGTATAAAGCTTAATTGTGATATACTTAGTCATCAAGATCATTCAGATTAGTAATCTGATGCACATAAAAGGGAAATTCAAACGAAAAGAAAACTTTTACCTTAAATCTCTAAGGCCATGCAAAATTAATTAAATGGTTTTCATAACCCGGCCGGGTCAAAATTTGAAAATTTCAAAAAAAAAATT